AGAGAGAGAGAGAGAGAGAGAAGACAGAGAGAAGATAGAGAGAGAAGAGAGAGAGAGAAGATAGAGAGAGAGAAGACAGATATCTCTCTCTCTCGAGAGAGAAGACAGAGAGAGAAGACAGAGAGAGAGAGGAGAGAGAGAGTGAGAGAAGATAGAGAGAGAGAAGAGAGAGGGGGGGGAGGAGAGAGAGGGGGGAGGAGAGAGAGAGGGAGAGAAAAGACAGAGAGAGAGAAGACAGAGAGAGAGAGAGGAGAGAGAGAGAGAGAGATCATGGCCTCAGCAGGCAGTCCCGGCTCGGTGGGGAGGACAGAGGGGAGGGGAGAGCCCTGCCCTGCCGTGTGGACAAGGGCGCAGGCAGCCAGCCACTCTGTGCTGCTAGGAACCCACTGGCGTTTCATGTGGATCTCAATCTGCCCCCCCCCCCCACCCACACACACACCTGACTGCTCCGGGCTAAGATCTGAAAGAAAGCTGCACACTGAGCAACAGGATGGGGCCGTCGGTCTTGGGGGCGATGAGCGCACAAAGAGCTGACTGACATTTGACACGGTTCCCTTTCCACCCCCTCCATGGCCCCGCCCTGACCTCTGGCATCTGCACTGTCTGTGCCAGCCCGCAGGCACCACAGGCACCATTGCTCTCTGTCCTTCCCTGGCCTCGGAGGCCCTCCCTCCCGCCGCCCTGGGGCAGCCGTGGGGCTCTCAGCCCCAGCCTCCCTCCAGAAAAGCCCACGCGTGGGGACACTGCCAGCTCCAGCTCTGCAGTCCGCTGGCCCCTACGGTGTCTCTAACCCGCTCTGCTGCACCAGGGGTCCAGTTAGAGCAACAATACAAAAACCCAAAGACCTAACATGACAGCTGTCTCTGGTTCCCATGCTGATTTATACGACTTCTCTTATAGATATGTTAGTACATAATATTTATACAATAGGGCCGTATTATATTTATACTAGTGCCTGGTGCACGAAATCTGTGCATGGGGGTGGGGGGTTCCCTCAACCCAGCCTGCACCCTCTCAGATTGGGGACCCCTTGGAGAGGGTGGGCCTAAATGGGCAATTGGGCATCTCTTGCAATTTGGGACAGCTGGCTCCTAACCGCTTACTTGCCTGTCTGCCTGATTGTCTTTAACTTCCTCTGTCTGCCTGCCTGATTACCCCTAACTGCCCTCCCCTGCTGGCCTGATCTTGCCCCCAACTAGACTTCTTCGCAGCTTCTGCTGGTGCCGGCATCCTCGGCTTGTGGGTGCACCATCCACCGCTGCCTCCGCTGTCACAGGGGCTTCTCCCTGTGTCTCTCTTCACACACACACACCCCCTCCGCGCATGTCTGTCTTTGTGTCTTTTCTGCTCTTCTCAGGAGGATGTCGCTTGCATGAAATGAAGGGTCAACCTTATCTGGTATAACCTCATCTTAATTCATATCTTAACTGCATCTTAAAGATCCCATTTCCAAATAAGGCCACACTCACAGGCACCTGGGGAAGACTTCAGTGTATGGTTTTGAGGGACACACACCAGGGTCAGCTCGTGCATGCTGGGTGCACTCGGTGGTGGTGGTGGTGGGGGGGCTCCGTCCTCTTTGCTTGAACTGAATAGCACACCTTTTTTCTCAGTCGTTTTCTGTAGCAGAGGCCTGTTATCGATCCAAGCAGAGATCAGGCTGCAGACCTGGGACACCCTCTCCAGGGGTGTGGTCGGCCCTCGGGCAGAATCCAGAGGCCTTGGGGAGGGTCAGCAATGCAGACTCTCCGGTTTCACCCTAAACCTGCTGACCGGGCTGTGTGCAGTGTTACTCGATCTCCAGGGAATGAATATACACGTCAGATTTTGAAAAGCAATGGTCTCAATAGCAAAGATTTGCCTTTGATGCCGGTGAATGATCCTGGTTGCTGTGAACATGTAATGTCTTTTGTTTAAATAGAAAAATTCAACTTTCAACATTTCTTTTTTTTCAATCCTCACCTGAGGATATTTTCCCATTGATTTTTAGAGAGTAGAAGAGAGAGGAAAAGAGAGTAAAATGTCAATGTGAGAGAAATACATTGATTGGTTGCCTCCAGCATGAGTCCGCCCAGGGCCAGAGTAGGGGAGGAGCCTGTAATCAAGGCATGTGCCCTTGACCAGAATTGGACCCCGACCCTTCAGTCTCCTGGCCAGTGCTCTACCCACTGAGCCAAACCAGCTGGGGCACCATTCGACATTCTTCCTTAAATATCCTCTAATTATATTTTGAAATGTATTTGAGATAAAAATGTTCTGCAGTTTTAATTTCAAATAATCTGTTTAACCAAATCTAATCAAATTGGAATGGTCAAGGAAGCCCTTGTAAGAAATATCTTCAATGGAATTCTCTCCAGCCTATCCTACCCACATCTGGAGGAAGTGGGGGAAGAGGATGACTGATCTGGAAAAAAATTTTCAAATATTTTTTCGTTGCCATTTTGGGGGAGAGCCACAAAATAGCTGTTTTCAAATGACAAGAAGGACAATCCTATGTAGTTTTAGATAGAGCGTTGGGTAGATGTATTAGGGAGGTGGGTTTGGAACGATAAATATTAACCTCCTAAGAATAAGCATTGTCAAAACATAGCATAGTGCTTTCTGAGGCTGAGACATTCACGCCTCGGGCACTTTTGTAAGGGAAGCGGAGTGAAAACCCCCTCTGAGAAGATGGTAGATTAGGGAGCTTCACAGGATGCTTCCAACTCAAGGAGGCCTTGGTTGCAAAACTCTGGCAATGCAAACCTCAGGAGGTTGCACGTGCAGCCCTTGAGTACTTATCTCTGGCCTTCGGTTATGAATCTTTTGGCTCAAAATATGTCTGATGTCCATCAGAATCATATCTCAGTAAAAATCAGTGTTTTAACTTCCATTTCAACATTCATCCACTACTATCCTCTCACTTCAACCAGAATGACACACGAGCCTTTTTTTGGCTGGTGTGTAGGCATCAGAGTCATTGAGGTTCTCCACTGTCAGTATAAAGGGTCACCAAAGCCAGCAGAGGAGGGAAGTTGGGGGCAATCAGGGAAGGGCAGTTGGAAGGGACTCAGGCCTGCAGGGGAGAGCAGTTAGGGGGTACCAGGTCTGCAGGGGAGGGCATTTAGGGGCAAACAGCCTGGCAGGGGAGCATTTAGACATCAATCAGGCTGGCAGAGGGATGGTTAGGGGGTGATCAGGCTGGCAGGAAGAAGCGGTTAGGAGCAATCAGGAAGGCAGGCAGGCGAGCAGTTGGGAGTCAGCAGTCCTGGATTTTGAGAGGGATGGCCCAGATTGGAGAAGGTGCAGGCTGGGCTGAGGGACACAACCCCCATGCACGAATTTCGTCCATTGGGCCTCTAGTATAATCATATTTAAAGTTTTCCATCTTGGCCAGTTTTCTTACCAACATTTGTTCAAAATATGTATTCTACATATTGAAGCCTAATTAAATGAGGTTGTAAAACCAGCACAAATAGAAATGCACTTGATCTTTTCTTTTTTCTTTTTTAAAATATATTTTATTGATTTTTCCAAAGAGAGGAAGGAAGAGGGATAGAGAGCTAGAAATGTCGATGAGAGAGAAACATCAACCAGCCACCTCCTGCACATTCCCCACCGGGGATGTGCCCGCAACCAATGTACATGCCCTTGACTGGAATCGAACCTGGGACCTTTCAGTACGCAGACCGACGCTCTATCCACTGAGCCAAACCGGTTTTGGCTGATGTTTTCTTTTTAAACACATTATATTATTGTTTATAGTATTACAGATCTCTCCCATTCCCCCCATCCGCATTATCTCTCTCCTCTCAGCCTCTACCCAACCCCCAGGTCTTCACTGCCCTATTGCCAGTGTCCATGGGCAATAAATATATAAGTTCTTTGGTTTATCTCTCCTCATTATAAGTGCACACTTAACATAATTTTTTTTCAATATATTTTTATTGCCTTCAGAGAGGAAGGGAGAGAGAGAGAGAGATAGAAACATCAATGATGAGAGGGAATCATTGCTGGGCTGTCTCCTGCATGCCCCTCCCCCCACCCCCCTTGGGGATCCAGCCCGGAACTGGGCTTGTGCTCTTGACTGGAATCCAAACCAGGACCCTTCACACCGCTCTATCCACTGAGCTAAACCAGCCAGGGCAAGAAATGCACTTAATTTCAAGTGACGCTGTTTTGGAATAACCCTGGACTCCGCCCTATGGAAACTTTAATAAGTTGCATCTTGAAACTGTGAACTTCAAGTGCTAAGAAGGCTGGATGCAGCGGGAATCTCAAAGGTATGTCAGTGTCTGACACCGTCTGTGGAAGTGCGCCCTCCTTAGTGCAGGGCCAGGCCCCGGCCGGAGGTGAGGTCAGAGGTGAGTGAGGCCCGTGCTCTCTAGGCCCCGCAGGACCAGGGTGACCGAATGTCCAGTTTCCAGGCTTTGCTTCGGCAGAGCCAGCCATCAGCGCCCCCCGTGCATGTTTAAACTTCGCGCTCCCAGGGTAACGGGGAGCCCGCGCCCCGCGATCGCGGGTCCCCCAGGGCCTCGCCCGCGGGGGACCGGGGAGCGCCCGGCACGTCTCACCCCGTTTCGGGGGATGGCAGCACCCTCGGCGGCGGCCCGCTCGCTCGGGTTTACCGGGCACTGAGTCGCTAACCGCTGCCCCGCCCGCCCCCGGGGGATCGGCGCGCACAGCCCGGTGCCCTCCCCGCGGCGGACCCGCCCCGGGCGAACCCGGGTGAACCCCGCGAACTGCCGCGACTCCGAGGCCCCGCCCCTCGCCCGCCGCCGGAAGCCCCGCCCCTTACACCGCCGCCCGGAAGCCCCGCCCCTGGCCGCCCCGCCGCCCGCGGAGGCTTGTCCCTCTCCGCCCGCCGTACGGCCCGCCCGTCGCCGTTCCCAAGATGGCGGCGGCGCGAGCGGCCCCCGCGGCGGGCTGAGGCGGAGGCGGAGCCGCGTCCCCCGCACCCGGGCCCCGGCCCCGCCAGCCCGCCGCGCCGCCCGCCACGCCATGCGGGGCTCCGCGCACGGATGAGAGAAGCCGCCGCCGCCGCGCTGGTGCCGCCGCCCGCCTTCGCCGCCAGCCCCGCCGCCGCCATGGAGGAGCCGCCGCCGCCGGAGCCCGAGCCCGAGCCCGAGAGCCGCCGCGCGGCCCGGTGAGTGCGCCGCCGCCCGCGCCCCGCGGGGCTCGTCTGGGAGGCCGAGGGGGCGGGGGACCCGCTTCCCGCCGCCGGCCGGGCGAGGGCCGGGCTGCAGCGGCTCCGGGGCGCCGGGCGCTGCCTGGGACCCCGGCCCGCGCCCCGGGCCCGCCTGCAGCCCTGCGGGGGCTGAGCCGGGCTGCGGCCGCGCCGCCCCGCTCCCGGCGCCGCCCGGCCCCGCGCCGCCCCCGCCCCCCGGCCCTTCCCGCCGGAGGAGTGGGCCCGCCGAGCGGACCCTGCACTCCCCGCGTTCCCTGCCCCCGGGGTCCCCCCCCCTCGGCTCTGCAGGGAGCGGGGGTGCCCTCCCGGTGGGTGCCCTGCCCCCGGGACCCCGCCCCCTCACTCTGCGGGGAGCTGGTGGGGTCCCTGCGGGTGGGTGCCCTGCCCCCGGGGTCCCCCCCTGGGCTCTGCAGGGAGCGGGGGTGCCCTCCCGGTGGGTGCCCTGCCCCCGGGGCCCCGCCCCCCGGGACCCCGCCCCCTCACTCTGCAGGGGGGGTCCCTGTGGGTGGGTGCCCTGCTCCCGGGGTCCTCGCCCCCCCGGGACCCCGCCCCCTCACTCTGCAGGCAGCTGGTGAGTGCCCTGCCCCCGGGACCCCTGGCCCCGCGGGGGGCGGGGGGTCCAGACCTCCGAGGGCTCCGCTGTCCGCCCGCAGCTCCGCGCGTCTTGGCTCCACGCGCGGACCAACGGGGGCTCCGTCTGAACTCGGCGCCGGCGGGAACCCCGGGCGGGAACCCCGGGAGGGAACTCGGGTCTCTTCCTGGGACCCGCCGCTCCTGGACGCGGTGTCGCCTTTTACTTTATGGTTCGGACCGGACCGGGGACTCGAACTCGCCGCCGTGGCCTGGGCTCCCCTCTCCTGCCGGAGCCGGGGCGGAGCCGCCCGCTGCGGGCGGGCCCGGCCCGTCCGCCGGCCCGCGGCCCAGGACCGGCGCTCGGTGGCCTTCCTCCCTTTCTGCCTCAGGAGACCCGCGGGCCCGGTTCCGGGTGTGCGGGCGGGCGGCGCGGGGCGGGGGGACCCCGGGGACCGGCCTCTGATGGGACATCAGCAGCGGCGGGGTGGGCAGAAAGCTCACCGGCAAACTTGTGAGAGGTCAGCTCTGAGCGTTTTGACTTGTTGAACTTTTTCTTTGAGAATCCTAAGGAATACTTCCTGCCGCTTAACACAGGCCCCTTTCTTTGCCCAGCCGTTCCCCTGCAGCAGCCCTGAGGGCCGGTGATGTCTCTCCTGCGCAGAGGACGCCGAGGCAGGAGGGCAGTGCGTGTCCCAGGGTTCGCAGCTCGGAGGGAGCTCAGACCCGTGCCTTCCCCAACGTGGACAAGTGCGATTCATTTCCACATGGGCGGGTCACACGTTATAATCCTGTGTAACCACTCTTTGGGATAAAATGAGTGTGAACATCTGTAGGTGAAAGTAAAAGGGACAGAGGGAAGTGCCATAAAAATGACTGTTTTTGCAATGATAAGAAGAAACCTTTATTTTTCAGCCAGGTTTTTGTCTTTGTTATAATAAAAATAGGTCAGAATAATGGGCTTCATCCAACTTTAAGCGTACAGAACAAGAAGATCTTAGAAATACCGCTCTTAGCAACATTGCAGTTAATTATACAATAGCTAATCTGTAAGCCAGATAACTTGACAAAGCTGTTGTTTGTACGCCCGCATTGTCACCACCACCTCTTCCACACACAGCGCTGACCTCTGGCACACTTCCTGCGTCAGTTAAGGATGCTTCAAAGGGTCTGCATCTGTTTACTTGAGCTTCTTCTATTTGTGTGTTTTAAAAGGTCACCGTGCATGATCAAAATGTGCTAGACGCCACATTTTAACACACTGGAGACTGATGATGTTTGTGCTACAAGTTAGCTGGTTTGGGGATAGACCGGAATAAAGCTCCGCTGCCCTCTTTGCTCATGCACTTCCTGCCGTGTGCCATTGATGGGACGGCGGTGCTAACGCACAGTGTGGTAGAATGCAGGCCTGCACATGTTGGCCCATGTGCCGCTGCAGCAGGTGCAGCCCAGAACACCTGCTCCGTGCATGCTGACGTGCGGGTTATGCAATGACGGAGGCACACACAACAGGCTGAGAGGCATTAGGTGCTCTGTTATAGTTCTGCTCACTGTCTCCGTGGATACTTCTTGTCCTTATTTTTCTCTCCTGTCCTTATTTTTGATAAAGATTCATTATAAGGACCGCTGGTTGCTCTTGCTGGTGATTAAACTTATAATTTCTTTTTCAAGCTTCTGGGTCAGTCGTAGGAGATCTGAGATTGCAAGGACAGCTCTTTGTAATTTCTTGAATCTGCACTACCTTGGATATTAAGGCTGATGCAAGACTCTCCTGTCTACTGTAACCTTTCATTTAAAATGTTTGTTAAAAATAGCTTCATGGGGGGTAAGAGATCAGCTGAAGGACTTGTATGCATGCATGTAAGCATAACCGATGGACACAAAACACTAGGAGGGCAGTGAGGACAAGGGCATGTCCCAGGGAGTAGGGGAGGCTGAGGGAAGGTCATTGGGGAGAAAAGGAGACATATGTACTACTATTTGCAATACTTTAAACAATAAAATTAAATTAAAAAATAGCTTCAGTGTTCTCCTTTATTGACCTTGTAAAGTACATGTTACATGGAATTAAATAACTTTTTTAAGCCAATGACTTTATTGTTTAGTTTATATAATAGCAGAGGCCCAGTGCATGAATTCGTGCATAGGTGGGGCTGGCTAGCCCCACCCCCAGCTGGGGTGGGAGGGCCCATCAAGGGTGGAGCCAGCTGGGGGGAGAACTGTGGGTCGTTGGCCAGTTGGCCCCACCCTCTCGTCGAACTCCTGGTGGAGGAGACAATTTTCATATTAGCATTTTATTATTATATATAGTAACTTCTTGTAACTTCATTTGAAAATCCTGGGTTTTCAGTCCTGGAAAAAGTATTTGAATATCACTCCCAGATGATTTTATCTCTCAGTTTTAATGTCCCCTTCGAGCCTGCTTGTTTCAGTGTTGACACTGGTGTCACCTGTTCTCACTAGTGAAACCCACTGTACGGTGCAGCTATGGAATCTCTTGGCCTCATCAATGATGGGCGAGGCTTGAGACCATTACAAGGGCAGACACCAATGGGGGTGGGGGGTTTAGGCGGAGAAGCAGTGAGCACGAAGCAGGAGTAGCAGGAGACTCCAGTGATGGCAGACGCTCCCTCATGTTCTGAAATGGGGACGACTTGTCTCTCAAGAAGGACCTTTTGGTTCTCTTCAATTGTCATATTATTAGGAGTTGCTTCTACTTCCTTCCCCGGTGTTCTTTTGGTGCCTGTAGATCTTGTTCTGAACACTACTGAAATATGGGGATATAAGATCTTGACTGCTTACTGGGTACATTTGCCTTAATAACTTCCTGTTACTTAATTCCTCATTCTTCAGTGATTATGTTTTCATTCATAGCATTCTGTTGTTTCATTTGACCAGGTGGTATGTATTCTTTCAGAGACACTTTCACGGTGCCTCTCAGTAGGTCCTTGGAAATTGTTTCTTTAGCGAGAAAACATGAGAGATGCCAGAAAAGAAGTCTGGCCAGTGACTGCTGGAGGTCTTTATAATCTGGCATTTCCTTGGCAGGGTAAGGTAAGCAGGGTCCATTATGTGCTTCAGCTCCTACTCAGCTTTGTCCACACCTGGTGGGTCAGTGTGTTGCCTTGCCTGTGGAAAGCCAAACTATAGTTAAGAAATTGATTGGTGAAGCATGACACCAGCAAGGGAATTAGTTGAATGGTCTTTGGGACTAATGTTAACATATCAAGGAGGTTGGGCTTGAAACTCTGTAAGCATGCCCTTCTAAGATGTGTGGCATATGGTAGTCTTACTTTTAAGCTTTCATTTGTGTGTGGTTTTTAATTTGTTACTAACTTCTCGCAGTTGGTTGAGTTATAGTGTGTTTGGTTTTTTATCTCTGGTCTTCCTTTAATTAGTTGATGACAAACCTGGCTTTTCTTGCTCTAATTTGAATTATGTTATGTCCTTATCCCTTAAAAAATCCCAAGTGGTAGATTTTTACTAATGGTAGATCTCAGAGGATCACCTATTTTCTCCACCCTCCCATAGTCCACCCTGACCCCCCCAAAAACAAAACAAAACAAAACAAAACAAAACAAAACAAAACAAAACAAAACAGAAATCTGGCAAAGTTTTTTACAAGGTGTGGCAAAGGTACCAGTGATTGGTGCTTTCATAAAATGGCTTTTTACTCTTGTGAATATTGTGTCCAAAAAAGATTATGATGTATACTTCTGGATTTAAGTTATAAAATTAAAATTTAGAGCGATGTTAGAATTGTGTACAGCTATTAAAATTATGTTTTGCATTACTTTGAATTGTTATTAAAATTGAAGTTGTTGAAGCCCCATCCTATATAATGAAAGCCTAATATGCTAAATGTCCAGTCGACCTTTCAGCCAATCAAAGATAATATGCTAATGATATGCTAAGGCTGCTCAACCACTTGCTATGATGTGCACTGACCTCCAGGGGACAGATAGTTGACCAGTCGCTATGATGTGCATTGACCACCAGGGAGCAGACACTCTGACCGGTAGGTTAGCTTTCTGCTGGAGTTTGGCCAATTGGGACTGATCAAGATGGACCAGACACACCCTGGGGTCCTCCCGTGGTCCCTCCCCGGCTGGCTAACCTCCTGCATCCCTCCCTACCCCTGATCATGCACCAGTGGGGTCCCTGTCCTTTCACAATTCAGGACCCCTTGGGGGATGTTGGAGAGCCGGTTTCGGTCCGATCCCACAGGCCAGGTCGAGGGATCCTATTGGTGCACGAATTTGTGCACCAGGCCTCTAGTGTGATAAAAGAGAAGTTTTCAAATGTTAAATTAACTCAAATTTTCTTGTTTTAAAATTCATTTTCTATGAACTATCTGAGCTGACTATATCCAGCTGGTTTTCTTAATT